TGCTAAGTGACGTAAATCTTCCAGGCACTAACTCTTCTGGAATAACTCCAGAGTATTCCATAGGAAACTGCTGAAAAAAATGGACAAATTAAAAATGTGTAGAAGATTTTTAATTTGGTGACATACTTTATTAAATTACAAAGACTTGAGGGGAATTTTTGTGTTTGTTCTTGGAATACTATATGAAGAATTTCTAATACTGCTTATTAATACTATATATTAAAATTGCTAATATAGTTTTGCTGTTTTATATTTTACTATTTTATTATTGCTACTATTATTTTCCTGTTATTTTGTTTACCCAAATTCATTGGGTATTTCCTTCTGTGTGATTTGATTTTTAGTTAATATTTGCTGCATTCCTGAGTATAAGTTTATCACCTTTAGGAGTCATCATTTTTAAAAGTGTGTGTGTTTGTGTGTGTGTGTAAAATCTCTGATTATATTATGGAGAAAACATTAAGAAGTAGCAAAAGATTTGGGTTAGGAATCAGAAGATCTAGAGTTGACCTCGCTATAAACTATCAAGAGCGTGCCATTTACATTTTTAGGGTCTCAGATTCTTGATTTGTAAAGCGTGAAAGTAATCTACATGATCTCTAAGGTTCTTTCTAGCACGAAACTTATAGAGGGTACTGTTTTGGTGGAAAACAATTGAAAATTACAGTGTTTGAAGAGGAGTGAGTCTGTTGGAAGTGAATTAAATTAACAAAATGTCATTCTTTGGCTAATTTGTAGAATTCATCAAATCTCTTAGGCAAAAAATTCCTGTCTTCGTAATAACCCTCTTATAGATATCACAGGACTTTGTACTCATGTTGTAGTATTGAAAATCAGTGGTGACATAAGGTCAAATATTTTAAGCCTTCTTGAAGCATTGGGGATTAGATGCTGTTGACACCAGTGAAGTTCCCGTAGTTAATTTAGCTATTTTCTCTCCCCATTTGGCAGTTTATCGAGATGAAAAATGGAAACCTGATCATATGGGCATGTTAGCAACACCATCCATTTCTGATACATATTACTATTTTGTCATTTAACCCATAGAGATATTTTTAAGTATTTTGTTTTTTAGTTTTCACTTTGTTCTTTCTTAAATAACAAGTAGAGACAACATTGAGGAAATCTTGAAAGAAAAGCTATTGTTCCATGATGTCCACTACTTATTCAATGCTATCTTCCTTGTTTTCTGGGTTAGAGACCATGCTAATTTAATCGAGGGGGCTTGTTTATAATGTGTGAGTATGTGTATGTATATGTGTGTGTGTGTTTAAGTTAAGAGAAGGCCTGTGTTCTTCAGATCTCTTCATTTTTCTTCCTCTTTTAGCAGAGAGACTCTTGTTCAGATTTAGGAACATGTCCAAATAATTTTTGGTTACTATCTCATAGATTTGATTTAATGAAGTGTTCTTGATGGGAAGAGATTTAAATGGAAAGCAATTAATTGTTTTACTTTTTCTTTTCATTGTTTGTATTAGGAGAGCGTTATGTCCCTGGAGTGGGAAATGTGACCAAAGAAGAGGTCACAATGAGAGAAATTATTCACTTGCTTTGTATTGAACCCATGCCACACAGTGCCATTGCCAAAAATTTACCTGAGAATGTAAGTCCAGTTTTGTTTTTTACTCCATTCACCTCAAGATGGGATAGTTTTTTCTTTTTCTTTAATTGGAAGCCACTCGAAGTTTTAGGAAAATCTGTTTAGGAAATTTTCAGATATAAAACTCTCACCATTAATTTTTTTGTGGTATAAACTTTAATTCTGGGCTTTTGGGCATTAGGAAACATTTTAGAGACATTCTGACTGTTTAGAAAACATTTTAGAGTAGGAAACTCTTTGCTTTTTTGTTTTACTTTAACATAAATTTTCTCCAGAGGAAAAGGGGACTTCCTGAAATGCTGAGACTATTTGGGTGGTGTGTTAGTCTGGGTCTTCTGAGAAGCAGATGTCAAGACAAAAGATTTAAGATTTAATTAGGAACAATGACTATGAGAGAAATGGTGAGGAAGCTGGGAAAGGCTGGGGGAGCCATCATACTGTGGTGCAAATCTGACTCCAGGTGAAGGAAAGAGGGAAGGGACGTTAGGTAGGACTGTCCTAGACTGCTGGGTAGTCTAATCAAGGCTTGTTGCCTTCCCATGTCTCCCAGAGTGAGCCTGCATTAGTATCTCTGTTCTCTAGCTGGAGGTCTGCAGGGTGCATTCTCATGACCGACACAGGTGATATTTATGTTCAGTATTGCTGATATTGAAGCAGTAATCCTAAAGATTATGAGTCATATTTTTCACTCCGAGATTTAATTTTGAATTAGAACAATGATTCTTAAAAGAGATTAGATTTACCTGTACTATCAAGGCTATCCAGAGAAGTAGAATGGAGGTAAGCTTTGACTGTTGGTCATTTTTCTTCCAACATACCTGTATCTTTTTCCAATTTCATTGTTAACTGATTCTCAAACTTTAACCATTTGGCATATCACCTTCATAATATTTGCACATCTGTCTACCAATTTTATAATTATTAATACAGTTTATTTATTATTATTTTTGGCTGTGTTGGGTCTTTGTTGCTGTGCGCAGGCTTTCTCTAGTTGCGGCTAGCAGGGGCTACTCTTCGTTGCAGTGCACAGCCTTCTCATTGTGGTGGCTTCTCTTGTTGCGGAACACAGGCTCTAGGCACATGGGCTTCAGTAGTTGTGGCGTGCAGGCTCAGTAGTTGTGGCTCATGGGCTCAGTAGCTGTGACGCACGGGCTTAGTGGCTCCACGGCATGGGGGATCTTAGTTCCCCGACCAGGGATTAAACCCATGTCCCCTGCATTGACAGGCAGATTTTTAACCACTGCGCCACCAGGGAAGTCCCTTATTAATACATTTTAAAATCAACTTACATTTTTCCTTAGCATCTTTCTAAGCAATATTACAATGAAATAGTAGGTTTAACATTCTAGATTAATTTTTTCCTAATACATGTTAAGATAAATGAATAACTATTCAAAAATTTAAAAATATATAACTGTGTGCCACCTAAAATAATTTCACATACCAATGATATACATTCCATATTTTGCAAAAAAAAAAAAAAGCTTTAGTGTCTACCCTAATTTTTCACTGCTTATCTCAAGTACGTTTTTAAAGGAGGCTAAATTTAATTTTTGCAACACTATAGGAATCTATGAATTTGCTTTAGTATATTGACTAGGTCCTTATCCTGATTTTAAATGACTTCATAAAAAAAAAATTCCTTATTGGGACTTCCCTGTTGGTCCAGTGGTGAGGACTCCATCCTTCCACTGCAGGGGCATGGGTTCAATCCCTGGTCGGGGAACTAAGATCCCACATGACGCATGGCATGGCCAAAAAGAAACAACAAAAAAATTCCGAATTCAAGGAAAAATTCAGGCCAGTCAGAAAAAAATAAAATTATTATAATTGCAGAAGCCAGAATATATTTGGACATCTACATATGTGTTTTACCGTAGATCCTATTTATTTTGTTACCTTGGTTTTAGGGATTAGTACAGCATGAACATGTGCTTAAATGATGTGGATGATGAACATACTAGATAAAGAAAATAATAATTTCTTTGAATTACTGGTTGTATGTGTATATATATATGAGGGCGAACTTAGATTAAATTTCTTCCTTAAGCAGTTTATACATACATCTTACCTCTGTTAAGAAATTGGTCGTCCCTCAAAACAAAGCTAATTGGTCTTAGACCTAATTTTTAAATATTGGAAATTGATCTTTTTTTATTGTTCATAAAACACTCAGGAATGCTGTTGAAAGTGTATTTCAGTTCACAGTAAGAGAAGATAAAGTCATTACCTGAAGGTAAAAATGACAAAAATGTTGTTTCAACAGGAAAATAATGAAACTGGCTTAGAGAATGTCATAAACAAAGTGGCCACATTTAAGTAAGTACTTAATTTTTATGCTTATTCTGAAAGTTAGACCAGTCTTTGTTCTTGTATTTCGGATACTTTGTAGAAACTCTGAAGTTATTTCCTGAACTCCCAAGGACAAAGACAAAGTACAGACAGAATGGGTGAGAACAAGGGGCACACTGTAGGCACTTAGTACCTGTATGATGAAGAAATGAGTATTTTTGTCAAGTGAATGAGAAATGTCCATTTGTGATATTAGGTGACTTAAGTAAGCAAAGAAACCTTTCGATAGTCTCTTTCCCATCAATTCTAAGCCATGACTTCGTTTATTCTATTAAATTTTTATATTGTATTCTAATTTTAGACTTTTCTCTGCTAGGATTAAAACATTATTTTGCAATCCTTTGATTCTTTGAGATACAAAAAAATGGAAATAAGGTTTTAAGTGGATTAATTCTTGAAATTAAAAATTGATACTGGTAATGAATTTTACTGTTATAGTAATATATTTATAGGTAAATTGCTAGTTTCAAATAACCTTAAAAATAGAGTGTAGCTTTTTTATGCTCTAATATTGTTCACTAAAGTATTTCACTTACTTTGATAGAGACCAAAAGCTGTTTAATGTGCAGAACAAATATGGTGTGCTCCTTTTGGCCTTAATGCTTTTCCTTATAGTTCTCTGTAGAGGATTCACCACTATATTTTCATTTACAATTCAATTTTCTACAGATATGATATCTTACTACCATTTTATATTTGGCCTTAGACAATGCAAGCTGTAGTTGAACAGGAAATCTTGAACAGGCTTCGTTTTTAGCTTCTGAAGCCTTAGGGATTTAGGTAGGGCATGGGATCAGACCTACATAGTATAAAATAAACTTCTTCAGATTTGTTTAAATTTCATAAGTATGAAACACAGCTTAGCTGTTACCAGGACTTTGAGCTTACAGTGTAGGTTTTTAGTTTTACTCGTGAAATGAAATTTGTCATTTCAGTTTAAGCAAGTTGAATGAGATAAGGTTGTTTTCTTCTCTTGATTTTGACTTTTAGATGAACTTTTAGGTTCTTATTTTGTCTTACTCTATACTTCAAGAGCACTGCAGTTCACCTCTGTATTTTCTATCGTTTTAGGAAACCAGGTGTATCAGGCCATGGAGTTTATGAGCTGAAAGATGAATCATTGAAAGACTTCAATATGTACTTTTATCATTACTCCAAAACACAGCATAGCAAGGTAGGAAAAGTTATCCTCTTCACTAAATAACCTAAAATGCGTATGCTTTCCAACTCCATAGAAAATTGCCTGGTTTTTCTGTAGTTTCATACTGGTTTTCATTATTAGAGCTCATTATCTTACCCAAGAAATTAAAATTGAATCAATAATGTTATCTAGTTCGTAGCAAGTATTCTGATTTTCCGGATTATACCAAAAATATTCTTTATATTTGTGTTAAGGGTAGGAGGATTCAATCAAGGATCATGCACTTCATTTGGTGTCATGTTGCTATAGTCTCCTTTAATTTGGAATAATCTTTTTGCCTTTTTTTGTCTTTCATAACATTGACATTTCTGTAGAGTATAGGCTAGTTGTCTTTTAGAATATCCTATATTCTGGATATGTCTGATTGTATTCTTGTGAGTAGATTCAAGTTAAACATCTTAGGGCAAGAATACTACATAAGTGATATACTGCATCACATCAGTAGGCACATATAATGTCTGTTTGTCCCATTAAGGATTGATGTTAAGTTAGATCACTTAGTTAAGGTAATATCTGGCTTTGTCCTTATAAAATGACTAATTTCCAGTTTGTCGTACAATGCCCTGTATATAATAGACACTAGGTAAATACTGTTGACTGAAAGAATGGGGACTAAATTAGTGATGAAGATTATTACCCATCTATTTTGCAGTGGCTTTTCCTAGGACAACCATTTTGTTTCTGGAATAAGGTAGCATTTGAATACATATTTCAGTATATAAAGTATTTTGGTAGGTTTGTGAATCTTTCCTGCCTGCTTCAAAGTACCCCATTTGTTTCATATTTGTCAAGTGGTGTATTTTAAGATAGACTTTTTTTTTAAATATATATAGGCTGAACATATGCAGAAGAAAAGGAGAAAACAGGAAAACAAAGATGAAGGTAAAAAATGAGACACTGAATTGACTCATTTTGACTATATGCTGTGATTTTGTATCAGCAAAGCATATAGTGTTTTGTTTTTGTTGTTTTTTGAAAGTGGGCAACTCATGGAAGTGCAAAGAACCCTTTGTTTCTTGCTCACATATTAAGGTATAGCCTACATCAGTGGTGATAGAATTTTAAATTTATAACAAATGGAGTTTATTTTGGGTGACTTACATAGTTACTTATATTTCCCTTGACATTGATGTTTTCAGTGCTTTAAAGGTAACAAAGATCATGTGTTGTTTTGCGTGTAATATATGATTCTGACATTTGCAATTTAGCATGAAGGATAACCCAAATAAAATTGTACCTATTTGTCTCTCCTGACATTGGTCTCCTACCCACTTTAGCATTACCACCACCTCCTCCTCCTGAATTCTGCCCTGCTTTCAGCAAAGCAGTTAACCTTCTCAATTGTGATATCATGATGTACATTCTCAGGACCATATTTGAGCAGGCAGTAGACCCAGATTCTAACTTGTGGACTGAAGGGATGCTCCAAATGGTATGTATACCGAAAATATTTTCTCTATTTCAAATACTTTCTCTACTTCATAGAGTTCTTGGGGGTCTGGAGAAGATCGGTAGTCTAACTTTCTGACTTCATTCAGAACCACAACTAGTACACCTGAGACCTAAGGGTCATTGAAAACAGCTTAGATGTGGCACAGATTTCCTTGTGACACATTCTCAAGTTTTTAGGATCCTTACTCTAGAGAATCATTTACATTAAAAAAAAGCAGAGAAAAATTTTAAAAAGGGCTATTCCTGCTAATAATAAATTGGCATGTCATTATTGTATCATAGTTTTCTATATTTTTATTTCATATTGTATTATCAGGAGACAGTATAATAAAGATTTGAAGACAGGTTTAGGCTTGAATTTACCTCACTTGGGTTAGCGCACTTCCCATTTAAGGAGCAAAGAGTAATTTCCCCATTGCTAAAATGGGTTTAAATATAATTATTTCATAGAGTTGTTATGAGAATTAGCTCATTAAATGGAAGCAGCTATTTTTTTCTTCATACTGTTATGGATAAGTTATTTAATAATGTCACCTTTGGTAGCTGTAATTGGATATTTACTTATCACCTGCCAACTAAATTTCCTTGGCTGTTATTGGTCTGGAGGCTCTAAATGCTATCATACTGTATGTGTATCTCACTTTTTTTTTTATAACAGTGGTAAATAAATGCAGTAAAAATTTCAACCCATAGAGATATATTTGAAATCAAAAGTTAAAATTTCTCTCCCTGCCTCCCATCGCCCTACCTAAAGGTTTGTATCATCTGAAAGTCATTCCACATTAGTGCATATAGGCCTACCTCATGCTTATAGCTGGATATTCCATTATATGGACATCTATGATGCATTTAACTATCTCCTGTTAATAGACATTTAGGTTGTTTTTAGGTCTTTGTATAACAAAGAACACTAAAATGAACATTGTTGTACAAATATCTTTGTACACTTAAGTGAGTGACTCTTGTTACACTAATTCCTAGCACTAGGTCTGTACCTTTACATTTTTGATAGATATTGCCTAATTGGCCTCCAAAAATGTTATACTGATTTACTTTCCCATTACCAGTGTGGTGAAGAGTGCCTGCTTCGTAACACCTTTGCCAGCTCTGTATTTTACTAAGCTCTAAAATTTTTGCCATTTTAATAGGTGAAAAATAGATGATCTTGTTTCACTCACATTTCTTTAATTTTAAGTGAGCTTGAACCCTTTTTTTCCGGCCGCGCCATGTGGCTTGCGGGAACTTCCCCGACCAGGGATTGAACCCAGGCCACGGCAGTGGAAGCCCAGAATCCTAACCACTAGGCCACCAGGCAACTCCCAAGGTTGAACATTTTTCATATGTGTATATTTCATTTCTTTTTCTGTGAACTGCTTGTTCATAACCTTTGCACATTTTTTACCCATCAGATTGCTTATTTTTATACCTCCATTTAAAATGTATTTACCTGAAGAAGCACAGTTTTAAAGATCTTGTCCTACTTTCCTTTTTCAGGCGTTTCATATTCTGGCATTGGGCTTACTAGAAGAAAAGCAACAGCTTCAAAAATCTCCCGAAGAAGAAGTGACATTTGACTTTTACCATAAGGCCTCAAGTATGTTTTAGTATCATTTTCAACACAGTTTCAGCTATTTGCCAATTTGTAACAGAAAGTTTAGCTCTGACAGGATTTTAATCTGTTAGTCCTTAAGACGGAAAACTCTGAAATTGTTTTAAGTCTTTTCGTAGCATTTTTAGTTTTTAACATTTTCAATAATATAGGTATGTTTTTTAATCCCCACGGCAGTCCTTTTACTGCATGATCTCACCCCTCTTTTGGGGGTGCTGCATACATTGATGGTTTCTTACTTTCATTCCTTGTCTCAGTATTATCAAATATTTGCTGCTATCTCAACCATAATGTTTATGCTACCCATCTATGGAAGATATTAATGTTCCTGAATTTAAAGTGATTGCGGAAGTCTGAGTGAATGATAATGTGTTTGTTCTGCACAATTTTCAATGTGGAAGAGCAGGATAGGTTTAGATTAAGTTTTTCTTAAACGCTACATGATTAAGACAGTTTTTTCAGAGCACATTCTAGGAACATTGATTTATAAGATCAATAAGTCAAAAGCATCTCATTTTCTATTTAAACACTATTTTTTAGATTCTTGACTACATCATAAACCTATTCAGTTTATGGATATGACAGCTCCCACTTCCATATTTTGAGGAGCTTTGGTTCTCAGTAAGTACTTTTAGACAGTGAGCCAAGTAGAGGGAAGGCAAAAGATATATCATTAAGGGTAGTTTTCACTTAGCAGCCCCAGTGGAACATGTACAAGAGAGACCTAAAGTAATTCCGGTTTTTCAAGTTCTTTAATTTAGTACTTAATACTTCATGTAATTGTAGATTGTTCCATTGAAAAATTAATGTAGTTAAGGGATTGACTGCAAACTTTGGTTATCAATGTGAATAACATTAACTATAAATTATAATTTATGCATAATTATGAAGATATATGTTCATGATATATACTTTTTGTGTTTTAAAAAAGGATTGGGAAGTTCAGCCATGAATGCTCAGAATATACAAATGCTTTTAGAAAAACTCAAGGGAATTCCCCAGTTAGAAGGCCAGAAGGACATGATTACATGGATACTCCAGGTAAAACTGAAAAATAAACTGATCATATCTTGGTTTAAATATTTAAGAATCCTCTGCTTGCCTTTAAGATTAAACCATAATATCCTCTAATTGTAAAATCATTTACTACTGATTTTCATGATCACTCATAATTTTTCATGTTAGTAACCCTATTTTCCCTATGTTTTAGTGAGGGCTATTTTTAATAAATTAACATTTATTTGTTTCATTATTCAGTAAATATGTATTGGGTACCTGATTATGTGCCATGCTCATTTCTAGACTCCGAAAAAGACAGATAAGGTGCTTGCTATCATGTTGCAAACATTGAGCTACAGACAATAAACAAAAAAATTATCAGAATAATTCAGTAGATGAGTAGGGGTAACTTTAGATGGGTAATCAGAAAAGGCCTCTTTTAGGTGGTAACACTGGAACTGAATGACATGGAGCCAGTCTTACAAGAATCTTGAAAAGTCCTCCAGAATGAGGGAACAGCAATGCAGAAGCTCTAAGGAGGCCAGAAAGAAGGCTAGTGTGACTGGAACATAATGGGGGAGGGAGAGAAAGGTAGGCAGCAAGGTCAGAGACACAGCCGGGGCCAGGTCATATAGGACCTTACAGGTCAGGGGTAAATGGATTATAGGGGCAAGAGTAAACACAGGGTAACCATTAGAAGATTATTGCAGTAATCCTGGTGAGAAATGAGCATGACTTCAGCTAGAAAGCAGATGGCAAGAAGCTGGACTGATTCACATATAATGTGATAGTAGGAGCTATAGAAATTGCTGATACATTAGATGGAAGAAGTGAGAGAAATCAAAATGACTCCTAATTTGGAGTTTGAACTATTGGGTGGATGGCAGTGCCTTTGGGGAGGAGTGAATGAGGGGTAGGGAGAGAGGTCAGGAATGTTACTTTAATGGAAAACCCTCCAAATGGAAACATGAAGCCAAGGTTATGGAGCTTCTTCTCACTGTATTTATGAAAATATGTTATCAGCTAGATATTATTTTGATAATTAGAATATAGGGTGGTTACATCAATTGGGGATCTTTGTACTGATTTGTACTTTAAGCAGTTAGTCCTTTTTATTACTTAATCAGAGACACTCCTTAAACAAGTGTGGTATAATTTGATATGTAACTATAAGGTAATGATGTTATCGAGATTTCTCTTGAAGTAGATTTCATGAATATTTGCTATTTTTCTTAAACCTACCAATATAACCATTTTAAAACAAAAACAAAGAAGTAAAGTAGATAACTATTCTATAGATTTCACTCATATGTGGAATATTAAATTAATTAAATAAATGAACCGATCAAACCAAACAAAATCAAGCACATAGATACAGAGAACAGAGTAGTGATTACCAGAGGGAAGGGAGTAGGGGGAGAGTGAAATGGGCTAAGGGAGTCAACTGTATCATAATGGATGGAAACTAAGTTTTTGGTGGTGTGCATGCTGTAGTGTATAGAGATGTAGAAATACAACATTGTACACATGAAACTTGTATAATGTTATAAACCAATGATACCGCAATTTTAAAAAAGCCAATTGAGCCATCATTTAGTCCAACATTTATATCCTATGGACCTGGTGTTATAAATTGGAGATCTGGTCCTGAAAGTTCATTTTTCCATTACAATACCAAAGTCCATTGTCAAAATATATAAAAATCACAAATATCTGTTCTTATAAACATTAGATATTTTATCCAAATGGTTAATATAAAGTTTTGTTTTAAGTTCCTTGTGGGAGTTTTTTCCACATAAGACTGAGGCTCTTTCAAAATATAAATACTGCAAGTTTTATGGATGTGCTTTCCTATTTCTGAAATCTTGATATTGTTAAAAAGAATGAGATAGCTCTTCCTTGGCACTGCCTGTGGAGGTGGCGGCTGTCTTCTACTTGGCATCATGGCTACCCTCATGAAGCCCAAGATTGTCAAAAAGAGGACCAAGAAGTTCATCTAGCACCAGTCAGGCCAGTATGTCAAAATTAAGTGTAACTGGCAGAAACCCAGAGGTATTGACAGTAGGGTGCTCAGAAGATTCAAGGGCCAGATCTTGATGGGAGCAACAAGAAAACAAAGCACATGCTGCCCAGTGGCTTCCGGAAGTTCCTAGTCCACAACATCGAGGAGCTTGAAGTGCTGCTATGCAACAAATCATACTCTACTGAGACTGCTCACAATGTCTCCTCCAAGAACTGTAAAGCCATTGTGGAGAGAGCAGCCCAGCTGGCCACCAGAGTCACCAATCCTTGTGCCAGGTTGTGCAGTGAAGAAAATGAGTACACAGCTCATGTGTACGTTGTATTTGTGTCAATAAAACCATAAAACTCAGACAAAAAAAGAGTAAAATAGATCTGTATAAGCTGTTTTGCAAACACCTCTAAAGATAAATGATGAAGTGAAAAAGGAAAGTAGGAAACAGTGTATATAGTAGGAGCGGTTTTTATGAGAATATATGTAAATATAAAGAAATATATATTCTGATTTTTTTCCTGCAAAGAGATACTAATTATCTTTAATTTAGTTGATTTTGGGGAGAAGGACTGGCATCAGGAAGAAAAGGTATCACTTTCCATATTGTATCTTTGTCTTTATATGTCTTTGCACTAAAAATGTTATTTTAAATTAAAAAAAATTTCCATAGCAAAAGCAGAGGTATGCTCACCCCTGCAGACTGATTCAGCTGATTTTTTGCTCTCTCCAACCTTCTTCTTAGCTGGATTGCTATTTATTATGTATTTGCAGATATTTCTCTCTCTTTCTGTGTGTGTGTGAGTGTGTGTGTGTGTGTGTGTGTGTGTGTGTGTGTGTGTGTGTGTGTGTGTGTGTATAAATAGCTTAGGTTTAAGTCAAAGACATTTGGAGACATGATGACAAAATCAGTTGAGTGAATTTTTCTGTTCCTGATCAGTCTAACCATATCTTTTTTTTAACATTTCATCTGTTTTTCACAGATGTTTGACACCGTGAAGCGATTAAGAGAAAAATCTTGTTTAATTGTAGCAACTACATCGGGATCAGAATCTATTAAAAATGATGAGGTAATAACATTATAATGATGATGACGTTCATCTCTGTCTTTGAACTTTACTGGTATAAGGGAGCTGCTTCTTTTTGTGAGAAGGAACCTGTTTATTGTAAGGTATATAAGATGTCTACTATTGTTCATTGTGTTTCTGTACCACAGGGATTAGTGGTAGTTGACATACATAGTTATCCAATATAATATATGTATTTCACAAAAGTAGAGGAAATTGATGTTCAGTGCAGCGCTGTTGAAAATACCATATTTTATTAATTTTTGAAATATTTTAATGTCTGAAATTGGAATATGTCTTATAATCCATGCCTTCTTATTATTTAATCAGCAGCATTCTTAGTGGAACACAAGATTATGGTGCATCTAAGATTTAATGAAACGCAGTAATGTTTAGGTTATGAATTTCCATAATATAACGAATCAGGTTTTGATGATTCTAATCTCAAAATTATTAGAATATTATTACTTGTGGTTATTAACTATCTTTCCTAAAAGAAAAACACTGGATTTAAGTTAAAATAAATAAAAAGACACCAATGCATTTCAGTAATGTTGTTAAAGTTCTCATTTTTAGCAATGTGTTAAGTAGTAACTGTTAGACATCATCAAGTTGGCTTTAAATTGATTAAATGTCAGTGGTTAAATGATTGACAAATGATTCAAAGTTATTATTTTTTTATTTTTTATTTTTTGTGGTACGCGGGCCTCTCACTGCTGTGGCCTCTCCCGTTGCGGAGCACAGGCTCCAGATGCGCAGGCTCAGCGGCCATGGCTCACGGGCCCAGCCGCTAAGCGGCATGTGGGATCTTCCCGGACCGGGGCACGAACCCGTGTCCCCTGCATTGGCAAGCGGACTCTCAACCACTGCACCACCAGGGAAGCCCTCAAAATTATTATTTCATTTAATTTTGTTTCTTAATATACCTGCATTGAATATAAAAAGCAGTTTATTAGATATTTAAGATACTTGGCATTTTAAGTTAAAAAAATGTTTTAATAAGTTAAATTATTGAAGTACCAATGGAACAATTAATTGTAAGATGTGATGGAGCCTGTATGTTAATTTTGAGTCATCAGATTGAATCTGAGTTTACTCTAGGAAATTTTGCCTGACTGAACAGTATATGTAAATTTTCACAATGGATCTTACCTAATTTTTCTGGTCTTTTAACACCCAGATTACTCATGATAAAGAAAAAGCAGAACGAAAAAGAAAAGCTGAAGCTGCTAGGCTGCATCGCCAGAAGATCATGGCTCAGATGTCCGCCTTACAGAAGAACTTTATTGAAACTCACAAACTCATGTATGACAGTACGTCAGAAATGTCTGGGAAAGAAGACTCCATTATGGAGGAAGAGAGGTAAAATAAAGCAAAACTAAAAATTAGCAACCCAGTTTCTTGTAGTAAAAATTACATATTCACTTTAAATAATATTTTTTCAAAATATATTTCAAAGTAAGAGAAATTACACTATTTTTAAGCTAGCAAGGGCACAGTGAAGCCTCTTACTGGATGTAATTTTATGTTGATAAACTGTTCAAGTGCACAACAAAGTTAGTTGGGACCCTTTATGCACAAAAAGGCATGACGATGGAAACGGCAAAGATAGAAATCAGCTCCTGTTATCTTGTATGTGTGGACTTCTTTAGGTACACATTTATGTATCAGTTCGTATATTCCACATCATTTTTATGAGTTCTGGTAAAAATGACTGCTGCTATTACATATTGAAAAAAAAACCTTCACTTGAAAAAGATGGTCCATGCTAATTTTTCCTTTTTTCTAAAAAGAAAGAAGGCAACCCCTATGGTTTTAGTCATGGAGAGCACATTGGAATGGGAATTAGTAAACCTCGTTTTCTGACTATGACACTATGCTGTGCTCTTGGGGAAATCTGTTAACTTTCTGAGAGTAGTGTTTTGTGGGCTGTTATTTAGATACAGTGAGAAAAGGGAGGAGGCAAAATAATGGTTCTTTGAAAAGCATTCCAATTTAAAATATTGAAAATCCCTTCTATGCTTATTTTTAAAAACAAGCTTTCACTGCTCCTTAAAACAGTGTGTTGTGGATACTTTTAGGAAATTGTGCTTCTGCAATAACAGTAGACAGTAAACATTATACTTTACATAATATGTTTGTAATCCTGAAGCTGAGTATGCTAACAAAGAACCACAAAGAATACTGACTCTATATCTTAAAGATTAAAATTATGATGGTAAACTATCCTGGGATGACAACAGTAATAAAACTAGAGACTAATACAAAACTTTAAACAACAAGCAGAAGTCCCAACCCTCTTTATATTACCTATGAACAATATAACATTTAGAAAGTAATGAACAAGAGACTACTGTATATTTATTCAAACAAGAGGATGTAAGCAGAAATGTACTCAATTAATTAATGGCCCTAGTGCTTTCATAATATATTTTTATTGCCTGATTAATTGTACACATAAAATTGTGTATGTGTTTTCACTGAAAACAATTCACACAACACAGTAAGTCTCCTTTGACCGTCCTCCTCATTCCTGATCTTTCTCCACAGATAACCATTGCGATAATAACTATGGTTCTAGGTGTCTTTCTGTGCATTTGTAAACATGTGTACGTGAATAATAATGAGTCTTGTTTTGTGTGTTTTAGTGGCTTTTTAAAATTTTACCATCCTTTTTTGTTCTGTGGGTTGCTTTTTCATTCAGTGTCTTTTAAATCTTTTCCTGTCAATACAGATAGACCTTTAGTGTAGATTCTACATCATTCTTTATGACTGCTGCATAGTATTCCATAGTATGGATATATAATATTTTATTTATCAGATTTTGGACATTTAAGTTGTTTTTCCCTTGTTTCCCAATTTTCCATATTACAAACAATGTGTCAGAACATTTTTGTATGTTCCCCCTTGCACAACCCTACAAGTACTTCTCAAGGGTGGAATCTAATAAATGAAAGGGCTGGGTCATAATTATTTAAAATTTTAATAGATACTGGCACATTGCCCTCCAAAGTAGTTTCACCAATTTCTACTCCCAGCAGTGTATGAAGAGTTCCTGTTTCTTTCATTCTCACCAATACTTAAAATTATCAGTACTTGAAAATATTTGGTATGATCAAAATTATAAATTTGTGCCCTTCTGAAATTCCCTGATTAGTTAGTAATAGGTTGAGCATCTTTTCTTATAATTATTCACTAGCCTGTTAAATTTTGTCTTCTGAGAATTGCCTCTTATTATCCTTTGCCCATGTCTATTGGATAGTTTACTTTTATCTTACTGATTTCTAGAAGTCCTTTAAAATTATGGATATTAAAGTTTGTTTCATGTTTCCCGTATGTTGTTCCTGTTTATTTAACATTAATTATGAAATTTTAGCCGTAGCAAAGTTTTCAGTGTTGATAAAGACAGATTTGTCAGTCTTTTCGAGTTTTAACTTTTTGTATCTTGTTTAAGAAGGCTTTTCCTATCCCAAAGTCACAAATATATTCTCTTACATGTTTTAAATGTAATTACATTTTTCATTTACATTACATTTACAAATTTACATTTACAAATTACATTTGCATTTAAAATTTTAATTACAGTTATATTAACACATTTTCCTTTTAAAAATCAAATGTTAGAGATAAAGCTAAAGTTCCATTTGAGTACTGGTCCAAATCCTGCACCCCTTTCTGCCCTTCCTCAGAAATACTCTGGTTATAAGTTTCATGTATATCTTATAAGAATTTTTACTGTGCTATTAGATACAAATATATGTAACCATAGAAATTATATAGTGTCATTCAGCCTTTTGTTTTATTTGCATAAATGTTATTATGCATGTATCGTTCTTCAGTTTCCCATTTTCATTTAATATTATGTCTTGGAAATCTGTATATGTATATTCTTACATATAAAACAAGCTCAGGGACTTCCCTGGCGGTCTGGTGGTTAAGACAACGTGCTCACAATGAGGGGGCCTGGGTTCAATCCCTGGTCTGGGAACTAGATCCTGCATGCTGCAACTAAGAGCCCGGATGCCGCAACTAAGACCCAGGGCGGCCAAATAAATAATAATAATAATAATAAAAACGAAAAAAACAAGCTTAGCATTCCTCATTCTTGGCATTTGGACAGCAGTTCTTTCTTATGCCTAATGAATTGCAGGGCATTTAGCATCTCTGGCCCTTCATCCACTGAAGTGCAGTAGTGCCCCCTAGTCCTTATGTTAACCAAAAAGTTAACTTTACTCACATGTTGCTGAACCCCTCCTGAAAAGTAGTAAGTACCACACCTAGCTGAGACCCACCTTTTAAAAACTTCATACTATTCTGTATTATGTAATTTCATGTATACTGATGATAACCATTTAAGTTATTTCCAGTTTGTTGGATGATATATGATATCTCAGGGAGCTTCTTGCATGGATAGCGAGGCAGTATTACACGGCATGGCCTGTGAAGTCAGATCATCTGGGTTAAATCCTGGCCTGGTTACTTCCTAGATGAATCATTAGATAAGTCTCTTACCATCTCTAGGCCTCAGATTCTTCGTCTGAAAAATAGAGATAATAATAGTACCTGCCTTATAGGATTGTTGGAAGGATTAAATGAGGTGACATAAAGTATTTGAAACAGTGCCTCACATTACAATTAGTGCTTTGTAAGTATTCGCTCTTATTTATTATTCTACACATTGAATACATCTTATGAATTGCTAAATCATTAAGATGTATATTTTAAATTTTAATAGCTACCAAAGTAGAACAGAAACTTCAATGCCTAATAAGAGGGAATGGATAAAACCATTATGGCACATATAGTGAGAGTACTGTGCAGCCATTTAAAAATAGTGTTTCTGAAGCAAATTTAATGACATGAGAAAACAGCTAAGATACAAGTGAATAAAGCAGGACACAAACTGTATATGTAATGTGATCTTAATTATGTAAAATATGTTATAAATAGAAAGCAGACTGGAAGGAAATGTACAAGTCATTATTTCTAGGTTGTGAGAGTATGATGCTTTTTATTTTCTTCTTTATATTTTTCTAGACTTTCCAAAATTTCTTAATAAGTATGTATTACTTTTATAATCAGAAAAAACAGATTCACAGCTTCTTGGTACAGTAAGTTAACTATAATATGCATCCTACTTTGTGATCTGCTTTTTCTCTTTTTGCATTTATCAACACAGAATGTATTTTCTAGTAAGCAAATTAACTGATAAAAGTCAGAAAAATCAAGGGGGAAGATTTTAAGCTAATATTGCTAAATATAATTTTTATTTATTTTTTTTATTCTTAAAGTTCTTGCCCTAAAGTTACTTAAAATCTACCAAAATATAAAGACAAGTGACCAAAACATGTGTCCTCATTTCTGGTCGTTTCTCTTGCTAGCACCCCAGCAGTCAGTGACTACTGTAAAATTGCTTTGGGTCCTAAACGGGGTCCGTCTGTTACTGAAAAGGAGGTGCTGACATGCATCCTCTGCCAAGAAGAACAAGAGGTGAAACTAGAAAATAATGCCATGGTACTATCGGCCTGTGTCCAGAAATCTACCGCCTTAACCCAGCACAGGGGAAAACCCATAGAACTCTCAGGGGGTATGTATTGTTTAATAAATGTCTTTTTGAGCATTTCTTTTCATACTTGTGTAATTAGAAAAAATACTATCTGAAAGAAGTTTGGGAGTGAGATTGTATTTAGCCTTATTTGGTCAGATCACATTTTACCCATTTATAAAATGGACGCTAGATTTTTACATGCCATTTTGGCTCCTTTGTCTGTTTTTTAAAATTTTGATTAACACATGGCCACGTTGCTCATTCTGTCTCTTTCTCTCTCTCTCCATTTCTTTTTGCTGAACCATTTGAAAGTAGGAATTCGTGACATTTCCCTAAATATTCCCTAAATATTTCCACATGCATTTTCTAAAACTAAAGATAATCTATTATATATCTACCATACCAGTATAACATTTAAGAAAATTACTAATTCAGTAATATCATCTAATATAAAATCCATATTTGAATTTCCCCAACTGCCCTCAAAATGTCTTTTTTTAGCTAGACTTTTTTTTCCATTTAGGATTCAGACATGTTTCCTATGTTGCTTATTTTATGTCTGTTTTAATCTAGAATAGTCACTTGCCTTTTTTTTTTTCATGATAATTTTTTTGAAGAATGCAGGCCAATTTTCCTGTACAGTGTCTTACATTGTGGATTTGTCTGGTTGTTGCCGTGTGGTTAGGTTCTTGTTAAACATTTTCTTGGCTGGAGTACTTAATAGGTAATATGTTGTAATTCTTATATCACATCAGGAGTTAGCTGCTTTATTTTTTAAATACCCTTGGAATAATAATAATGATAAAAAAGGTTAACATCTAATGAATACTCACCATGTGCCAGGCACTGGTTAAGTGCTGTTTGTATATTTACTCACTTAATCTTCATAACACCCTGTGATTTAGGTACCAGTATTGGCTCCATTTACAGATGAAGAAACTGAGGCACAGAGAAATTAATTAACTTGTCAGAAGCCACAAATTATAAATGGTGAAATCAGATTTTGAACCCCATAGTCTGTGCTCTTAGCCAGTAGATTATATTGCCTCTAAATATCCCAGTCAAATCACTTTTAAAATACAAAATTAACTGTGCTTGAATCATAGAAAATCGCTTCAACAACCAAGATAATGCAACTTAAAGCCTAATGTTAAAATAAAATGTACATCAAGAATAGAAGTCGTGGGCTTCCCTGGTGGTGCAGTGGTTGAGAGTCTGCCTGCCGATGCAGGGGACACGGGTTCGTGCCCCGGTCCGGGAAGATCCCACATGCCGCGGAGCGGCTGGGCCCGTGAGCCACGGCCGCTGAGCCTGTGCATCCGGAGCCTGTGCTCCACAACGGGAGAGGCCACAACAGTGAGAGGCCCGCATAACGCAAAAAAAAAAAAAAAGAATAGAAGTTGTCATTAATCCATACTAATCACACCTGGAAGTCTAGCTTTATATTTTCCTCTTTTTACTTACTCTTAAGAATATATATACTACTGCCATGATATTGTGACACTTTTATTGGACATTCCTAAGAAAGTTTATGATTAGAATTTTAGACCTGATAACCTCTTTTTTTGTTCGGTTTCTTTTTATGATTGTGGGGCAGATGAATACATACCTCATATTTTTGTCTTTCTGTATCAGAAACCGTGGACCCACTTTTCATGGATTCAGACTTGGCATATGGAACTTACACAGGAAGCTGTGGTCATGTAATGCATGCAGTGTGCTGGCAGAAGTAAGTTGTCCTTCTGACATGTTCTTGAAAGAAGCTAGGAATATTGAAGTTCTCTAAAGGCCACAAAAAGGCATGTTTTCTTGTGTCTTCTTTTTTTCTTATTTGAATAATTGAAGCAGTTTTAATTACTGATTTTGTTTGCATGATACTCATTATAGTATCACCCTTAGAAATTGGTGTGTAAAGTTATCAACTTAAAATTTTCACTGTACTTGCTTTGCACAAACTAATTAGTCTCTTTTGATCAGTATCTGTATAAAAGAAGTAATAATCTTTATAAAAATCTCATTCCCCTCAAAACATAGAGGGAAAAGTACCTTTGAGATAGAATAGGGGACATGAAGTTCTAGTTGTATATCTGGAAGAGATAAAAGTTCAGAAATATAATTCCTGCGAAATATTTTGTGTAGGGTTTACCTTTTTGGCATCAGATTAAATTACATAATTTTCCTATAATAGCCCTTACTACTTCAGTTGGTCATTGGAAACTGAGGGAGGTAGTATCTGTATTGTATCTCCATGCTGTTGAGGCAGGAGACAAGTTATAATACAGTAAAACTGTTTTAAATTTGTTTCTGCCCTGATGTGTCCTCCAGTTGGCCCCCAAAAGAATGGGCATCCTATTTCTTCTGTAATTATAATTTGTGTATTTTTGCATGTAGATTCTAAAGATGTTTATTGAGGCAAAAATTCCAGATTTTTTTCAGTTGGATTAGAGCAAAGATACATGTGTAGTTTTGAATGGACCTATGTCTTGGAATTTTGCAGGTATTTTGAAGCTGTACAGCTGAGCTCTCAGCAGCGCATTCATGTTGACCTTTTTGACTTAGAGAGTGGAGAATATCTTTGTCCTCTTTGCAAGTCTCTGTGCAATACTGTGATCCCCATTATTCCTTTGCAACCTCAAAGGATAAGCAGGTATATTTTAATTTATGTTTTGGTTAATTTTTTTTTTAAGTTGTCTTTAATCCTTTCGTTGTGACTGTTTTAATTAGATTACTAGTTCCTTTTTTGCTATTTAATTCTTTTTCATTTTATAACTTGTATTCAACTTTAAAAATATGATAAAAGCCCCAATTTTTGGTTTTTAAAGGAACTGGAATATTCATTTACTCAAGTCTACATGTTTTGCATCTGTCTTCCAACAGCCATTAAAGTAATAGAACTTTGATCTCCATCTTAGCACTCACAGAAGAAAGAAAGTTGCAAAGAAGATCCATTCTTTCTTATAGTCCTTTGCCAGCATTAGAGTTGCTATTAGGAGTTTGGTTGCTCTGCAGGTCTTCGTATTATTATTTTTATTCTATTTTTCTGAAGATCCAAATGCTGTAGTTGTAGAGACATGGACAAAAGGTTAACTATAAAGGTAAATAAAAATGATAGGTTCATCTATGGATAGTTTTTTAGTGTTTAGAATAAATTTTTAAACTTTTATATTCTGACCATCTGTGAATAGAATTTAATAGCAAATTTATTAGTTTTTTTATGACAACTTGAACATGTATATTTCTGTATTCTCACTATTCTACATGATAACAGTACTATTTATTATTATTATTATTTCAGTTTTTTTTAACTCAGTGACTTTGTAGTGATAGACCTAAGTTTTTCTAAAGAAAATGATTTTATTGATAAAACACTTTTAACATGTTTTCACAGCATAAGAGTTCAAAGGTGATAGGTTTGGCAATCAGCGTCAGTAAGTAGTTGCTCTGTCTCTACTATTCCATGTCATTAGAAAACATAATTTTGAATTGTTTTCTATTTAGTTTATTGGGACATAGAATGTCATCTTTTAGGAAGAAGGTGACATCACAAAGATTTATCTTTTATTTATTTATTTATTTTAGTTTTATTTATTTTTTGGCTGTGTTGGGTCTTCGTTGCTGCACATGAGCTTTCTCTAGTTGTGGTGAATGGGGGCTACTTACTCTTCGTTGTGGTGCGCGGCCTTCTCTTTGTGGTAGCTTCTCTTGTTGCCAGGCATGGGCTCTAGGCGCACAGGCTTCAGTAGTTGCAATGCGTGGGCTCAGTAGTTGTGGCTCACGGGGTCTAGAGCGCGGGCTCAGCCGTTGTGGCTCACAGGCTCAGTTGCTCTGCAGCATGTGGGATCTTCCCAGACGAGGGCTCAGACCGTGTCCCCTGCATTGGCAGGTGGATTCTTAACCACTATGCCATCAGGGAAGTCCTCCTTGATATCTTTAAGAATAGGATGCTTCAGGGCAGTCCTTTCTAAAGTTAGACTGATCCTTACAACTACGTCTCTTCAAACCCTGTGACACTTTTAGTCTGTAGTAACAATTTTGTCACTTAGGATCTGAAATACATAATTATACATAACATTTTTATTAGGCATTTGAACTTACCTGTATAGTTGGAATATATTTGCCTCTTTTGTTAGAAAATCAACATGAGTATAACCTAAGATACTAAAGTTAAGAGCATATAAAAAACTTTATCAAAACTAATAATAAGCTAGCATTTTTTTTTTTTTTTTTTTTTTTTTTTTTTTTCTCTCCTTCCTTTTTTTTTTTTTTGCAGTGCGCAGGCCTCTCACTGCTGTGGCCTCTCCCGTTGTGGAGCACAGGCTCTGGACGTGCAGGCTCAGCAGCTATGGCTCACGGGCCCAGCCTCTCTGCGGCATGTGGGATCTTCCCGGACCGGGGCAGGAACCCGCGTCCCCTGCATCGGCAGGCGGACTCTCAACCACTGCTCCACCAGGGAAGCCCTAAGCTAGCATTTTTAAAGAAAATTGGTCATAACAAATCAGAGTACACTTTCATTTCTGAGAACTGAAAAAATTCTTAGATCAAATTTGTGCCCAGAGATGTGAATTTTGGCACAGTTCATTGTATATTTTAATTTCACTTAAAGCTGTCCTTTCAGTAAGCAAATCTCTACTTTATGGTCCTTTTTAATAGTACTGTTTCTGGTCCCCCTTGGTTGTTAATAGCAGTTTGGGTCAAGCCCCTGCCCTTACGGAATTTATATTACAGAGAGGAGAGACCAACGGGTAAACATAAAAATACAGAGTATTGAGTAGTGAGAAATACAGAGAAAAACTAAATTGGCAGCATAAAGGGCTAGAGACAGACCAGTGCATGAGATTCTCTACAGATTGAGTCGGCAGGGAGCTCCTCTCCGAGACGGTGACGTTTGGATAGAGACCTGAATGAAGTGAAGGACAAGCAGTGCTACTCTCTGAGAGAAGAGAATTCTAAGAACAGGCAATATCAAGAGCAAAGACCCTGAAGTAGGAGCACATCAGCATGTTGAAGGTGAAGCAAGAAGGCAGCAGGTTCAAGGCACAGGAAGAAGGCAGTATGCTTGGAATGGAGCAAGCAAGGAACCAGATCCTAAAAGGGCTTATGAGCTAAGATTTGAAGTTAGAACTGTATTTTATGTGTGATGGAAAACCATTGGAATGTTTTGGATAGGGAAGTGATACAATCTGATTTACATTTTTAAAAGATCTTGCCGGTGGTTGTGTGATGAATGTATAGATAATAAAGAAGCACCGCTGTGGAAGCAGGAAGAACAGTCTATTGAAGTAGTCCAGGTGAGGGATAGTGTAACTTGGATTAGGGTAGTAATGATGGAGATAGAAAGAAGTGATCAACTTGGAATGCATTTAGAAGATGAAACCTGCAAGACTAGCTGATAGATTAGAATGTGATGTGTGTGAAGGAATCAGATATATCAGTGGTGATACCTAGTTTTTGACTTGAGCAGCTAGAATGGTGATTTCATTTACTGACATTTATTACTTCCAGGTGATGGGTGTATGGGTGGTATCTTGTTCTTTGTACTTTAAATTTTTTCTTCCCTCCCAAAACTACATTTTTAGGTACCAGTGTTTCTATGACCTAGGAAGCTAATCTGGAGGAGTTTGACTTTTTCATACAGCCATTTATCCATGGAAAGACCCTACAAATTCAGCTTGATTCAGTTTGACTTTGTGCCAATGGCTTTAATAATTTTTAAATATCATTTTTCAGTGAGAACACAGAAGCTCTTGCTCAACTTTTGACCCTGGCACGATGGATACAGACTGTTCTGGCCAGAATAACAGGTTATAATATGAAACATGCTAAAGGTTTGCTTAAAATTATTTTATATTTAGCTGTGTGAGATTTAAGTGTCAGAGTGTTTATTTTTTTGAAAGTACTTATTGCTCTTAAAATATGGTTTGTACATACAGATTTGTTAAATATTAAGAAATAGGTTTTTTTAGGCGAAGGCTAAGTTTGGCTTAAATCACTTTACTCAATTTAATAATTTTTCATACTATGAGACAGTATGGACAGTAATTAATCTGGAGTCACAATGCTTGGATTTAAGTCTTAGATCTATCACTTACTATCTGTGTGATCTTGGACAAGTTACTTAACCTCTCTGTGCCTCAGCTTTCTTATTTGCAAAGTGGGAATGATAATAGTACCTATCTCATTGATTGAAGGATTGAGTTATCCTATATAAAGTAGAACAGTGCATGGTACATAGTAAATACTATATAAGTGTTAACTGTTATTAATACTGTTAATATGTTGTAATTAATATTAATAACAACAAACATTTGGAAATTATTACCCCATTTATATATTCTTCACAGTTGAGAGATAAGACTACCTAAAGGCTCAGAGAAGTAAACAATGGCAGGCAGATTAGGGAGGAAGTAAAAATCTGAGGAATGTTTAGTACAGGCAGTGAATTTCCTGGGGTTTTTTGTTCCTCCTTTATTTCCCAGTTTTGACCCCAAGGTAGCCTGAGTCACAGAACTATGCAGTGGACATGAACAGTAAAAAATCCAGGAGAGATGCCATCTTTCTGGCCAGAGGACTGGAAAAGAAGCCCCTCAGAGCTGGAGAGTGTAAAGGGAATTCTTTTTTTTTTTTACATCTTTATTGGAGTATAATTGCTTTACAATGGTGTGTTAGTTTCTGCTTTATAACAAAGTGAATCAGTTATACATACACATATATCCCCATATCTCTTCCCTGTTGCATCTCCCTCCCTCCCACCCTCCCTATCCCACCCCTCTAGGTGGTCACAAAGCACCGAGCTGATCTCCCTGTGCTATGCACCTGCTTCCCACTAGCTATCAGTTTTACATTTGGTAATGTATATATGTCCATGCCACTTGTGTTTTTTTTCCTCTCTTTTGGCTCTTTCCCAAGGCCAGCTCCAGTCATGGAACTGCACTGCCATGGTGGCCACATAAATATCTAAAATCCCAAAAGAAAACCAGTCTGACTGGCCAAAAGATCTGGGAGAAATGGGACCACTATATTCCAAAAAATTCTGGGTGAATCCTCATTATTTTTTTCTTTGCCTCACAGCTTCACCGCAAGGTTAGCCCCAGTCAGCACAGGAGACTAAAACTGAGCGAAATTGGTCATTTTGACCAGAGGAACTGGGAAAAAGGGCCCCTTGGAGTTAGTATAGGGGGAATCCCAGAGAAGAGAGAGCTGTAGAAGGGAATCTCCTACTTTTGAGACAAACACAAGTCCTGAGCTCAGCTCCAAGCTGCACGTGTGTGGAACAGGCCCAAAGAAGCATAGCAACAGCTTTGAGACTGAAGCTGCATTAAACCACCACTCAAGTTCCAGACTAAGCCCTGAGTAGTACATATACTGGCAGACCCAAACAGCATAGCAAAGGCTCTGAAAACTAACATTGGAACCACCACTCACAGGGAGTGAGACAGAACTTGTTGAACCTGATTTGGGTTGGGTTGATTGCCTGCTAGAACAACAACAAAAAAGGTACATTTTTCCAGAGAATGTTAATGCGGACCAGTAATGTTCAAATATATTCACAATGTAATATTCAAAGTATCCAAGACACAATCCAGAATTACTGAAGGTACAGAGAACCAGGAGAATCTGACCAACTCTAGAGGAAAAAAACAGTCAACCAACTGCCAATCCTGAGATGTTTTAGTGTTGAACTTTTCAGACAAAAAGTATAAAGCAGCTTTATAGTCATGAAACATGAAATAAAGGTGAACACTCGTGAAGTGAATGGAAAAATAGGAGTTCTCATCAGGAAAAAATAGAAACTATAAAAAAAGAACCAAATGGAGATAACACAATTGAAAAAATACTATATGAATGAAAAAATTAACTGAATGGGGGCTTCCCTGGTGGCGCAGTGATTAAAAATTCGCCTGCCAATGCAGGGGACATGGGTTCGAGCCCTGGTCTGGGAAGATCCCACATGCTACAGAGCAACTAAGCCCGTGCACCACAACTGCTGAAGCCTGCGCACCTAGAGCCCATGAGCCACGGCTGCTGAAGCCAGCACGCCACAACTACTGAACCCGTGTGCTGCAACTACTGAAGCCTGTGCGCCTAGAGCCTGTGCTCCCCAACAAGAGAAGCCACCTCAATGAGAAGCCCTCGCACCAGAATGAAGAGTAGCCCCTGCTCGCAGCAACTAGAGAAAGCCCGAGCGCAGCAACGGAAGATCCAGCGCAGCCAAAAAATTAATTAATTAATTAATTAAATCTTTCAGAAAAAAAGAATACAATTTTAGCTGAATGGGCTCAGTAGTAGAATGGAGACGGTGAGATAAGAGTCAGTGAATTTGAAATTAGATCAGGGGAAATTACAAAATGAAGAAGGGACAGAAAAGTGATGCAGAAAAGCGATGCAGTATCCTTAGGGACATATGGAACCTTTTTTTGTTCCCTTTAGCCCAACATTTGTGTCATTGAAGTCCTGAAAAGAAAAAGGATGGTACAGAAAAAATAGTGAAGAAATAATAGCTGGAAACTTTCCAAACTTAGAGAAAGACTTAAATTTATAGGTTTAAGAAGCTCAGTGAACTTCAAACTTAAAAGCATACCTAGATAGGTCATGCCCAAACTGCTGAAAACCAGAGATGAAGAAAAGAATCTCAAGAGCCACCAGAAGAAAACAAGTTATTTCACATACGGGAATAACAATTCTAATTTGATAAGGAAATGGAGCCACAAAGAGGTTTAGTATTTACCCAAGGTCTTAGTAACAGTCACTGGCAGAGCTAGGATTCATACCCAGGCAGCTTGGCTCCAGATCCTTGTTCTTATTCAGTAACGCATGCTGCCTTACTAATAGAATACTATGCATTTGTTAAAAATAGAAATATAGAGGGTCAGTTACCGATGTGGAAGACATTTATGATCTATTAGTGAAAAAACAAGATACAGAACAGTACTAGAGATGTTGTCCTTTTTAAAAAAAATCTACACGTGTAACATTTATATGGAGAACAGAAGAATATCACCCTAATGCCATCTGGTTATCTAGGTGGAGAAATTGAATGATTATTTATTGCTTATTAACATTTTCTAAGTTTTCTAAAATGATCATATATAATTTACAAAAGCTAGAAAAGTGTGTGTCAGGCTAAACTCCTGTGATTTTTCTTTCTTTTTCCTTTTAATTTGTAAGGAGAAAAGCCAACAATTCCAGTCTTGTTTGATCAAGGAATGGGTGATTCCACTTTTGAGTTCCATTCTATTCTGAGTTTTGGAGTTCAGTCTTCGTAAGTATCTAAACAAGAGAAGTTTGTAAGTGGTTGTGAAAATAAGAGTGAAGAACAGTTCTTTCCTTCCTTCTTGCTTTATTTGTAAAATTGTTTTCTTTATCCCATTTTTATCTTGTTGCTTTCTCCCTAGAGTTTTATTTGTACTAATGAAATTAAGTGGTTTGAGATATTAGAGTAATATGTATTTAATATGTATTAGGGTGAACCATGCCTATAATTAACTGTTTTTGACCAACAAAAATACTATTTTTATATAGTCCAACCTACAAGAAGAACAGAATTTAAGAGACTTAAGTTAAAATCACATCTGACTTGCTCTGTGACTTCTTAAAAGTCTCAGGTCACTCCAACCCTACCACAATTCATTTTCTTGTTTGTAAGATTGAGACAGTGGTCTTCTAACTAACTTACCTCATAACATTAATGGAAAGATATTTATGTGAAGGCACTTTGAAAAATATAATATATCCAAATCAGATATTACTAGTTAATGAATATTATCTGAGGTACATTTTTCTGGTTGTGATCCTTGTTTACATTATGTATCCCATTGCTACTGAAAATATTTGTTACTTGCAACAAATAGAAGTTCAGGAAACCAGAAATAATCATTGCTAGTACATATATTATTATATACACACACAGACATACACACACCCCTATCAGCACAGAAGTACTTCTTGGTCCCTTATCCATACACTAAAACTTATGTCAGATCTGTTTCCTCTGAGTTTTAATCCTCTCTCCAATCTGTTCCTTAATTTGGACCTGGACCCTTTCTGCTGTAAACGTTTACTGCATCTTTTATAAGAAGTTATCTGGGTCATTACCATTTTGTCAGAGACATTTTTCTACCTGTAGGAGTTACAGTTCTGCTTTTCCCATTTTTCCTTAAGGAATAAATCTTCTTCAGCAGCTCTTATCTCTAATTTGACAAAGGGTAGTTTACTTTGTCAAAAGGAGTTAAATTCTTGCTTTTACTAGACCATTATATCAATATAAATTTTTCTTGTTTTATTTTTAGGATAAAATATTCTAATAGCATCAAGGAAATGGTCCTTCTCTTTGCCACAACAATTTATAGAATTGGATTGAAAGTGCCTCCTGATGAAACGGATCCTCGAATCCCCATGATGACCTGGAGCACATGTGCTTTCACTATCCAGGCAATTGGTAAAGCCTATAAGAGAGTTTGGAGCTTTATAGAAACAGAATTAACATTGATTGACCAAAATTCCTTTTTTTCCTGATAGCCTGGAATACTTTGATTTGTTTAAGGACTCTTGGTATATCAGTAGATTAGATGACATGATGCCATTTAGCCTTAGAATATTTTGTATTAATCTCTTTTAACTACAAAAATGGGCATATAAACTAAAAATACTTGAAAGGGACAGCATGAAGCAAGCTATATTCGAAGGTGGCAGAGTTACAACACTGGAAGATCAGAGAAAAACTAAGAAGAATCAACCCAGAAATGTCCAGTATTTTTATTTTTTTTACACTTTGAGATAAAAAGAAAGGTAAACTAAAGTCATCTGAAAAATTACCAGGAAAGAGAAAGGAAGACTGAGGTGGTCAGGAGAGACAGACTAGCAGCAAGAAACCTACCAAGTCTGAAGGGAAGCCCACTGTCAGGTTCTCTGCCATGTTGAAAGCTTCTTAGAGAAGAGTGTAGCTATCAAATCAACATGTTGTGCACCAGCGGTCCCCAACTTTTTTGGCACCAGGGACCAGTTTCATGGAAGACAGTTCTGCGGACTGGTGGCCTGGGTGTGGGGGAGTGGTTCAGGTGGTAATGCAGGCGATGGGGAGCGGCAGATGAAGCTTCGCTCACTGGCTGCTCACCTCCTGCTGTGCAGCCCAGTTCCTACCAGGCCACTGACCGATATCGGTCCGCAACCTGGGGGTTGGGGACCCCTGTTGTACACCTTAAACTTACACAGTGTTATGTATCTCATTAAAGCCAGGGGTAGTGAAGCAGTGAAGAATTGCTTAGATTTTTAAATTAGTATATTTGCTCATGACAGTCACAAGATGGAGTACTACATGAAAAAGAGTTAAGAACTGTAATTCTTTCATGTCATCTTTATCCAAGCCAGTTTCAGACTCATTTTCCAGTTTTTCTGGTAGTTGTTTTTAATGGTTCTACCACATTGTCTTCATTTAAATATAGTTTTGTAATAAGACACTATTTCATGATTTGAAGTAACTAACATGAAGCCACTTCTTTTTTTTTAATAAGTTTATTTATTTATATTTTGGCTGTTTTGGGTCTTCGTTGCTGCTCACAGGCTTTCTCTAGTTGCAGAGAGAGGGTGCTACTCTTCATCACAGTGCACGGGCTTCTCATTGCAGTGGCTTCTCTTGTGGAGCACAGGCTCTAGGTGTGCGGGCTTCAGTAGTTGTGGCTTGTGGGCTCTAGAGCTCAGGCTCAGTAGTTGTGGCGCACGGGCTTAGTTGCTCTGCAGCATGTAGGATCTACCAGGGCTCGAACCCATGTCCCCTGCACTGGCAGGCAGATTCTTAACCACTGCGCCACCAGGGAAGTCCAAAGCCACTTCTTTCACAGAGCCTTCCTGGACGTCAACATCAGTCTCTGTGAATGGATTTTAGAAGTTATTTCCAAACCTGTCAGACTTAAATTGTGGGTAAAAAATAAATACACAGGTTTATATTTACTATGATTAAATAAAATGAGAAAAGGAAAAGATGAGGTTTAAATAGAATCTGAACAATATGATATGAAATGTAAAGCATTCTTTTGGAGTCATGATCTAAATATCTTCAGATTTCCAATGAAGGTACTTCTGCACTTTACTATTTTGGGAACACAAGCATTAGGAATTGGAAATTTATATTTAGGCATTGAACATTTTAAAAAGTGACAGTTTTGTTACAGAGTAGATGAGAAATTCATTGGAGAATAGGACTGAGTCTTCATATGTGTTTCTGTAACATAGTAATTCGAATCTATTTGATTAATAGAGTGTTATATAGTTTTCACTCTAGGCTTTTTCCATGCAGTGGATATAATGCTGTACTTTATTCCTAGTACATAAACAGCTAACTTATCTCACTCCCTGTGGGTGTGGAGAGACATATACAGGATGTGTTGGCACAGTTATGAAAAATAGTTGAGGAATCAAAACAGAGGGTCTGACAAAGAGAATGGAAGAAGAGGACAAATATTGTCAATCGATCACTTTGTGAATAACATATCTTATGCCACATAACAAGAGGGGGCCCTTCTGAGATAAAGGCACTAATCTCTGAAGAATTTAGTACTTCCTTGCTCAGATTATTTAACAAAACTTCTTCCCAAGCAATACCCAGGAAATAACAAAGTTTTGTTTAATGGCTAATTCCAAAGTCCATAAAATGTCAGTTCAGGAATTGTTTCAAAACCAATAGGGTGTTTATATGATCCACACATCCTCCAAATTTTAAAAATGTATATATAAATCATGTGATATTCATTTTAATATAAAATTTACAAATATAAAATCAGTACTGAACTGAAAAGATATATTAATAGGTTTTATACTTGCTCAAGTGACTTTTGTAACACAATATATAATATTCAGTTAAACATCTGGTATCTAATGGTAAAAAAAACTACCAGCAAATTGAGGTTACATTTAGAATTAAACATGGTGATACTTGATTTAGTTCATACTGACCTTTTAACTATTGCATTTTGTGTTTAATGGTGTCTAGATCAGCCAAAATTTTGTCCATTTTTAGCCAGTTCTGTTTTTCTATTTTTTCTGCTTTCTTCAAAGCTAGAATAAGAAAAAATACATGATAGAAAAAATGCAAAAAGAAAATAGGAAATAAGCCTTCCACTCTCACAGATGTGTTTGCTGCCAAGGATCAGTGAAAATAAGAGTAATTTAGTAATAAATACCCTAGCCAATAAGGCAAAATATATTTCTGAACCCATGCTTTTTTGGTATTTTCAGTTTCATCTTTTTATCCTATAAATCTTATTTTTTTTAATAGTACCTAAAAGAGCAATAACGTTACTTACGTCTGTCTTATGTATTATTAACAACATACGTGTTACTATATTTAAAAAATTACTTATTTAAAAATTTTTTGCAGAGAAGGACAAATACTGTATGTTTTTATTTATATCTGCTATGTAAAATATAACACAAATGAACAAATACAGCAAACAGACTCACAGATACAAAGGACAAACTACTGGTTACCAGAGGGGAGAGGGGTAGGGGTAGGGGCAAAATAGGTGAAGGAGATTAAGAGGTACAAACTACTAGGTACAAAATAAATGTTACAAGGAAGTAATACAAAGCACAGGAATATAGTCAGTATTTTATAATAACTTTGTATGGAGTATAATCTGTAAAAATATCAAATTACTATATATCGGAACTTAATATAATATTGTAAGTCAACTATACTTCAATTAAAGAAAAAAAATTTTTTTTGCATAGAATTTTTTTTTTTTAAAGGAGGGTAAATGAACCAGAATGCTTTGTTTTTCCCAGGTATTCTTTATTGATTGCTGCAGGGACTTTATTATTTGTAGTAGCAATTTGTGAATGATCTACATTTGCCTCTGTAGTATTCTCTCACTCAAAAGTTTGGAAATTTGGGGGACTTCCCTGGTGGTCCAGTGGTTAAGACTCCGTGCTCCCAATGCAGGGGGCCCGGGTTTGACCCGGTGCCGCATGCCACAACTAAAAGAGCCAACATGTAGCAACGAAGATCCCGTGTGCCGCAACTAAGACTTGGCGCAGCGAAATAAATAAATATTTTTAAAAATTGGGGGTGGGGGGAAATTTTGGCATAGACTTAATTAAACATGAAGTTTTGAAGGGGAAAAATGCAAAGCATCTGGTCAAAAATAGATTAGTTAAAGAACATCTCATAGACAGAAACCAACTATACAATTGTAGCAGTATTCAGAATTTATCATTTTTGTTTTTCTTACTCTTTGAGAAAACCTCTTGGGAGATGAAGGAAAACCTTTGTTTGGAGCACTTCAAAATAGACAGGTATGTGTATTCCAGCAGGATACGTGTAACTCATGGTATGCTTTTTTAGGGAGTCCACAGTAAATTTATCATTTAAAAAAATCTTTATTCACTCCTTTTTCTGTAAAAGTTAGCAGAATTCTGTTAAAAAAAAAAAAGCTACTTCAGTCTCATAGGAGACTGAAAGGCCAACATTGTACACTTTGGAGAGTTTTCTCAATCTTAGTGATTAAATGTAATTCACAGAAAGATTTCTGATGATACTTGGTTACTTTTTATCCCCTTCTCTGTTTATTTCCAAATCAGAACCCTAGTGTCTCTTACATTTTTCCTTTTCACTAATTTTGTACCATCATGTAATATTAAGTATTAATGCTGGCTTAGCTCTAGATAAATCATCATACTGAATTCAAGAATAAAACTAAACCATGACTCCTTGATGGGCAGATCCTGACTCTGTATAACTATACTCCTGCCTCAGGCCCAAGCCTCATAACATTGGGGACCCTGACAAACAGTACTTAAGAAATGTGCTGAGTAGGCCTGTGAAAACAAACTGGGTAACAGGATTCCCTAGACCACCTACTTCCTAGCTATTTCTTTCTTATTATCTGATAGCTGACACAGGGGACTTGGAGTCCACGATGTGCTTCCGATAGTTGCCATCCTTCCATCTGGGAAGCAGATCTGTTCCCTGAATTCAGTGATTTTCTGCCATCATTTTAGAATTTCTGTAAATACGTTTATTTGCACAGGCCTCAATAGAATAATTTAGGCCAGATATTTAAGAGAATGACTCTGGGGAAAATGAGTACTTAAATGAGAATTGAGATGATTATATCTTTAATACCTCTTTGTCATGGGAAAATCTATTTAAAAAATTCGGTGAAGTCATAAAACTTTTTAGAAGTATTAAAAATATTGTAACTAAATTTGCAAGAATGTAAAGTATATAGTAAGTCTGCACTAATTCTTGCAGACTGGGATTGGTTTTTACATTGAATGACTTAGGTCTTTTATCTTCCCATATCTTTTTATCTTCCCCTCTCTTACAATCTAGCATAATGGTCTAAAAGCATTAATGCAGTTTGCCGTTGCACAAAGGATTACCTGTTCTCAGGTGCTGATACAGAAACATCTGATTCGTCTTCTATCAGGTAGAGTCTTCTCTGAATTATTATTATTATGTCATTTATGTGTCTTTTCCCATTGCATTTCTGGCAGTGTATTTTATTAGGAAACAACACACTGCACTAATTTTGGATACTCATTACCACAGCCTTACAAAAGAAAAAACAAAAAGAAAACAAAACACATGGCTGCCCCTTTAATACCTGCAATCTTATTTTTAAAACCAAGTGTTTTCAAATGTTGTCAACGTGTATCGGTTATACCCACCTAGGGGCTTTTTTGAAGCAACATCCGCAATCACTAACATCTTGTATCTCAGTCTAGTTAGAAAAGGGAGCAGTGACGTGGCTAGAACATTTAAAAATATGTTTAGTTTTGCTGGTGTGTATCAAAGTCATATAAAAATAATAGAAGTGCTAAGTGTGGTAATCTCAGACTGTAGGTCCATGCATGCCCTTTTCTTTGAGAGACAGGCTATAACAGCTGACTTGGGGGTTTTTTTAGATTCTAACAAGCTAGAAATTAAGCCCATATGGTACTCAATATAGAAACAAAAAGAGGGATTAGAGGTTATACAGTAGTAGAATGATTTGGCTTTCATTTTGGTTGTCTGCATTTCCATTTAGGTATTTGTACTACAGGAGCTCCTTTGCGTCTAAATAGGTCAGGCTTAAAAAAGACTGTTTTTATAAGTCTTTTTATTCGTAAGTTCAATATGTCACAGGTAAAGAGGTTTAAGCTTACACTTCCTAGGTATGTTTCTACCAAATAAGAGAGTCATTCAGTCTTTTTAAGCTTTAAAGCCAGGCATAGTGTTTTTCTAGCTGATCTAGCAGGCTTTTTTCCCCAAAATTGACCAGTTACTTTACCTTGAAAGTCTGTTGAAACAGGTCACCTTCCTCCTTGTTGATTCCCACAAGCTTCTTAGGGAGCTCTTCCTGGGCAGCTTTCTGTCACTCTAATGACATGGGGGTTCCATGGCTCCATCCAAATCTGCCACCTAAATTTCATTAGAACTTTTACCATGCCAAGTTTTATATCTTCAAGTTAATTTCCAGCTATCTCCTGAATTAATCTCATGCTAATAGGAATCTAATATTAATGCTGTTCCCTAGCTACACACTTAAATTTTTTCTGTTTTTTCATTTACTTTTTCTCTTATTGGTCAGTTGCACAGGCCCAGAATTTTGCACGTGTTACACGTGCTTCTTATTCTTAGGACGTCTTCCTATTGTTAACAGTTTGTCCTATTTGCACAGTAATATTTTGGTTTGTTTTTTAATTTTTTGGTATCTCTTTTCATTTCAGTTATAATTTGGATACCTTGTTTTACCAGCACTTCCAAATAGTCTCCCTGCTTTTACATCCATCACACGTTATGGTATTTATAATGTTTAAAACACGTCAAAATAAGCACCAAACAAAGAGACTATTTAATATTTAACATCATCACAGATAGCAGAAACTGAAATAATAGTGCATAATCTCTAATTGGTAGTAACTAATAGAATTGATGTGCTTTTGCTCTGTAATGTAGCTTTGTGACTTTATGTAAAAGTTTGGTATGTGAAAATTTATTAACAGGAACATCTTTATTTGCAAGGTGTTAGGGCTATAAACTCTGTATAGAGGTATAAGATATGGTCCCTGCCATTTGTAAGGCTTATGATTGAATTAAAGAAGCAGAACCTCTGTGAAAACTCACGTTATAATGTAGCCAAATGCCAGATGTATGGTAAGAATACATGCTTCAAGAATTGAGACAGGAAGGGATCACTATGGGGCTCTGCTGTTTTTTTCCTCTAACAGGGTCCGTAAAGATAAGCTGAGAGGAACAGAGACAGCATTCTAAGCCCAGGGCACAATTTAAACAGATTGAGGAGGTAGGAAAGCATGTGATATGTTCAAGTTAGGCAAGTTTGATAGGAGTAGTGGCACCTATAGATAGATAGAGAAGCATGAAGTTGTTTTGATAAAAATAGAGGATCTTAAATGCCCCAGTGAGAAGTTTGAACTTTATTCTTCAAGTTATTGGGAATTTTTTGAAACATTTTGAGCAATAATATTCTAAAGTTAATTTGATATTGTATAGGTTGGATTGGAAAAAGGAAAAATTAAAGGTAACATGCATCTGCATGTAGTAGCATAAATTAGGGAGGGAATTGTGATGGGTGGAGGCAAGATTTTGAATTAAAATGAGTAACTAGATTATTGAGAGAAATAGGGAAGTCCAGAAAGTCCACAATAGAGAGATGTTTTTTGTGAAAGGTGATGAATAATGTTGTAACATGTTGATTCTGCAGTAGCAACAGGACATACAATGCTCACTGCCATGTATGTGCCAGGCATTGTACAAGGAATTTTTTATATAATCATGTCTTTGAACTGCCATTCTTCAAGGAAATTATCATTTTCCTGATTTACCGATGAAGAAACTGAGGCACAGAGAAGTTATTTGACTTGACCGAGGTCATAAAAAGAGACAGAACTAATATTTGAATCCAAGCCTGACCATAAAACCTATGCTCTTCCTGCTATATTACATAAGTTTTGCTGAGATATTTAATTTAGCATAAATGGAAGATTTATTTATTTATTTATTTATAGCTATTTAGCTATTAACATAGCTAGTTAATGGCAAAGCCCTGTTATCACTTTGTTTTTTAAAGCCAATATTAATAGCGTTTATCGATTACTGTATGCCAAGCTCAGGATAAGTACTTTTAATGCACATGTTAACGAACCTCTCAACAATCTTGTATACACTGTAGACTTAGAGAAGTCAAGTACCTTGCTTATGACAAATAGTCGCAGGAAGTACTACATCCCATTTCTGTCTGACTCCAAAGCCCATGCTCTTAAATTTTATGGTTTTGTTTAGAATCTTGGATTTGGGGTTAAGAAATTCACCTAGTCTGAATTTTATTTTATTTTATTTTTGCGGTACGTGGGCCTCTCACTGTTGTGGCCTCTCCCATTGCGGAGCACAGGCTCCGGACACGCAGGCTCAGCGGCCATGGCTCCCGGGCCCAGCCGCTCCACGGCATGTGGGATCTTCCCGGACCGGGGCACAAACCCGTGTCCCCTGCATCGGCAGGCGGACTCTCAACCACTGCGCCACCAGGGAAGCCCCTAGTCTGAATTTTAAACAAATAATAGTTTTATTGAAATAAATTAATTCCCTCATTTTTATATATACAAAACCCTTACTGTTGTTTTGAATTCTTGATTTCACTTCCTTGTCACTCTTTCTCTGACTTCCAAATTTAGAGACTGATCAAATCAGAAAGACAAAGTTTTTGAGCTGTCTGCATTTCCTTCCATTCATCAGCCCATATAAACCATTATCTAATTTTAATTCAGGAGGATCATCTCCATACTCCTTTCATTTACAGTGCTTTTCATGCTCTCCCTGCTCCAAACCTCAAATTGTTCACGTATTTTATGTATCACAGAACATTTAGAAATGCGTAGTTAGGGGGGAAAAAGTGGTAGGGAACATTGTATAAAAGGAATTCTTTTTCATTCAGCAAATACTTATCGAACAATTTCTCACTTCAGTCATCCTAGTTTATTTACCCTTTGCCCCTGTATCTTATATGTCAACCATTAAATTGCATCCAGGGCTTTTTAGAGCCTTTTCTCAGTTTAGTTTATCTTTAATTATGGTTCCTATATCTTAAAGGTGTGATATACCAGTTTATCAGTTTCTGTATTATAACCCTGTTAAATTTTTGTTTTAGATCTTGCATTATATTTAAGTACATTGCTTATGACTGACTGAATTACATTAAGGTTTTTTGTTTTTTAGTTGTTCTTCCTAACCTAAAATCAGAAGCTACACCTTGCCTTCTATCTGTAGATCTATTTCATGTTTTGGTAAGTGTTCAGTAAATTTTTTTTTTAAGTCACTCAAGCTTAGAATTTCGTGTGTTTTCCTCATTGAAATTTATGCTCTTTGTTCAAGATTATAAATTATCAGTGTTCAAAGTTTAGTCTCTTTTGTCCATTCCCTTTACAAATAGATACAGATTTGACTGAGACCATGAAAATCACTTTAAAAATGAAACCACATTTACCCTTTACTTTGTAATAGGTCTTATTCTAGTTGATTATATTTAGTTAGTGTCTATACAAGCAAACTTTTTCTAATAATGTATTTTCCCCCTTCCTCTTTTTCTCATCTTGTTTGCATTCTAAGCAGTGAATGATGGGGTGAGCTGTCTTAAAATCATTAATTATTCATGATAGGGACCAGGCCATGGGTGCATCCAGGCTTCCCCCAAAACACCTATGGTTGGGTGGCAACTGTTTTGTGAGTTTCTTGCACAGCTTTTCCATCCCTGTGAAGATTCCATTCCTTCAAAGTGAGTTCTCTAGAAAGAGCCATGGTGAAGTTGGGAGCATGCAGTTTGTGGATGCAAGGTTAGCCAGTATCCTCTACCCAGTGGTTGTCTCCCTATCTTTTGGAATCTCTTGGGGGAACCTTGAAAAGAATGCTGGTAAATGGGCCCTACCACCTGAGATTATGATTTGATTGGACTGGGGTGGGGCCTGTGTATCAGTGTTATTTTAAGAGCTCCCCAAGTGATTGTAATGTTGAACCTTCTAAAACCGCAGGGTTGAGAACACTACCTAGAACTAGAATAAGTAGACCCAGCAAAGGGTTAAATCTGTTTAGTGATGACATTTGTCCTCTATTTATGGTATATTATATTATAAAATATCTTGTTGAATAATTAGGAAAAATATGGTGGTTATTAAAAAAACACACAAAGTGCAGGATCTGGTGTTCTTTACATTTAGTTATGAGATTAACTTGTGTTGGTCTTTGTTGTTACCCATGTTGATGTCCATTTTCTCTCATAGGTGGGTACTGTGTTAGCATTCCCATCCTTGTATTGGGATGATGCTGTTGATCTGCAACCTTCATCAATTAGTTCTTCCTATAACCACCTTTATCTCTTCCATTTGATCACCATGGCACACATGCTTCAGATACTTCTTACCACAGACACAGGTAAAGCTCCCATCAGTTGTTAACTGTAAATAACATTTGCCCATGATTTATTGGCAAAATAAATTATGCTTGTGATTAATCATTTTATATATTTCTAAGTTCTGTATTATATCTCTTATTGAATGACTGTTCATTTGTTTCTTTACGGATGCTGTTTAAACGGAAAGGTTAGAAGAACTGTGACAGGAATAATTAGGTCAACCACTTGATTCTCTAACTTGCAGCTGCTCTCTAGGTATACAGGGAGACCATTTGGATCTGCTTTTCCCTTTCTTTTTTTTTTCAAATTCCCCAATCTCAAGGTTGAGGATTAGTCTCTCCAGTGTTTGTTCCTACCTAAATACTTTCAGCCTTTCGATAAGCCTGTCTACGAAACATTCTTGATTCCTCCAGCTAGAATGATAGTACTTTGTTCATTTTATATCATTTATCACATAGTGTCTTATTTTATAGTTATATCTTACTGTTGTTCCACTCCTTTCCCTGCTTCTCCTTTCTCCCTGCTCCTCCATGCCTACTGTTTCTTTAATAGGGAACATTCAAATTTCAAAATCTTCCCTCATAAGCTTCAAGTGTGTACCAACTTTTGTTATACCCAGTAAGAACTCAATAAATATTTTTTCGATGAATGTTCATTTGAGGATACATGAGTAATATCATGGAATTGTGGTATAGTTGTCCTTTTAGACTCTGCTCTTAATAGAAAGCAAAGTTGGGTTTTGAGTATCAGTGATCAATAAAGACTACTGAAAGTTCAAATAATTTAGAGGACAGATAATTAAAGTGACCTTAGAACAGTATCTAGCAAAATTACATATGCAGTTACCTTTTGACCCACCAATCCCACTTCTAGGAATCTACCCCAAAGCTCTACTGGCAAAAATATGAAAGGATATAAGCACAGATTATTCATTGTGGCATTATTTGGAATAGCAAAAACTGGGAGATTGGTTGAATGACCTATGGTAATATCCATATAATGGAATGCTGTGTAGCTATAAAACGGAATAAACATCTATTGAAGAAGTGATCTCCAGGATATATTATTAAGTGAAAAAAAGTAGGGTACAGAACACTAGTTTTAGTATATACCTTTGTGTGAGGTATTTTATGTGTATTCATGCGTATACATTCTTTCATATATTCATACTTGCTTATTTTTTAATAAATGAAACAACAGAAGTATAAACCGAAAACTAATTAAAAAGAGTTGCCTCTAGGACAAAGTTAAGAGTACAATACTTTGAGCAAAGACTCTTGTGAATGTCTTTTTAATGTAGTTGATTTTAGAACCCTAATTATACTTAACTAAAAAAAAAATCTAAATGTTGAAAATAATTTTTTGACAATTGAAAACAACAAATGAACCTAACAAGTGTATCAAGAAAATAATTGCTTAAGTGACTTTAAAAAACAGTATTTCAGCTGTACTTCCCTAGTAGGATATATTCTGATAATGGAAGAACTACAAAAAAAAAATGTTAAATTGAACTCAGTTAGTGGTATCAGTAGTACTAATACTGTTATTTTGAAATTATTTTAGGTGGTTTTTAAACCAAATAAGTGATTGTGTTAATGTCATTGGGAACCAAATTTTCAGTATAAGAAGGAAGACACACAAGAATAAATTGAGAAAAGTTAAGTAAAAACCGAATAATCGGGGCTTCCCTGGTGGCGCAGTGGTTGAGAGTCCGCCTGCCGATGCAGGGGACACGGGTTCGTGCTCCGGTCTGGGAAGATCCCACATGCCACGGAGCGGCTGGGCCCGTGAGCCGTGGCCGCTGAGTCTGCACGTCCGGAGCCTGTGCTCCGCAACGGGAGAGGCCACAACAGTGAGAGGCCC